TTGTTAAAAAAAAATCCTAAATACGAGTCTAAACTATTTAACAAAACTTCTTGATACGAGTATAAACTATCTACAAGTCAAATCAAGATCTCCTTGACACGAAAATAAAATGTCTACATGTAAAATATGAAGGCTCCTTAACATGAGTATAAACTGTTTATAAATTAAATCAAATGAAATCTCCTTAACATGAGCATAATCTGTTTACAAGAAGAAAAAAAACTCCTAAATATGAGTGTAAACCATTTACAAAGCTCCTTGATACGAGTATAAACTATCTAAAGTCCTCAAATGAAAATTCTCCATTACGCATGAGATAAAACTGCATGTTACTCCTGGCCTGCACGAGTATAAATTGTGACGGTTTTCCCTTGAAAAAAATATTCTTTGAATCACATCATGACTTAAAATTGATCCCTTAAATAGTTGGCTCAATTTTTGGATGATTGCTCCATTATGTCTTTTTAGATCTCCAGTTGGTATGGTGTAAACTCACAGTACTCCACAAGCTTGTTGATGGTAAAAAAATTTATCTATGATCTTTGATAGATGAGCTTCATGTCTTTGAATTCGTATGGCATATTTCCATGATCTAAATCATTCATATCATGTCGATCGTCTACGCCCGACAAAGTACTATGCGGTGATGAGTTACTCCATTGTGTGTGTTTGCATGCTGAAAGATATTGTTGAACCATAAATTGCTATGATTTGGTTCATGGCCTTTGTCCGTTGATGATGTGTAGTGGCAAAGTACTTCTTTTGTTGAAGGATGTGCATGTCCTGTTAATCTATGTCGTCTTGATCAAATGACTTGGTGTGATTTCAAGTTGCTTTCAGAAGTCTTTCTGTCTTTCAGAAGAGCTTGTTGTCCTTGATTGATATCATCTTTTCTCGGCAATGTATGTGATGGAAAATCATGACAGAGGTGATGGCTTGTTTGTCCATGTTGTCCCTCCATATGGTTTGATCGTCGGTGATGACTATTCGTGACTTGGACTTCAAATGCACAGTTCTGAAAGTTGAATTGGCCTTTGCGATGCGCTATCTTGAGGTGACGTTGAGCGGAAAGGTTGATGGTTCTTCCGTGCGGCTTGGCCTTTGCGATGCGCTATCTTGAGTTTACGTTGAAAATTGATGGTCCCTCCGTACAGCTTGGCCGGCGAGATGTGTCCTCCTAAGTGTTGATGTTGTGCAGCAAGGTCGATGGTCCCTCTGTGAAGCTTGGCCGATTAGATGTGTCGTCCTAAATGTTGATGTTGTGTAGCAAGGTCGATGGTCCCGTACAGTTTGGCCGGTTAGATGTGTCGTCCTAGGTGTTGACGTTGTGCAGCAAGGTCGATGGTCCCTCTGTGCAGCTTGGCCGGTGAGATGTGTCATCCTAAGTGTTGATGTTGTGCAGCAAGGTTGATGGCCATCCATGCAGCTTGATTCCTCTGTGCAGCTTGGCAAGGTTGATGATTCCTCCTGGCAAGGTTGATGATTCCTCCGAGCAGCTTGGCTTGGTGAGATGTGTCATCCTAAGTTGATGTTGAGCCGCAAAGTTGATGTATTTCTCCATGCGGTTGTCAGAGCTGGCCTAGTGTTGACAGTAACTCCATCTCGTTGAGTTGGTTTTTGTTGAGTTGGTTGTAGTGAGCCGCTTGCAAGATCCATGCCCGAACAGCTCCTAAATCACTTTGCTTCAGCCTCGGTTAAGCACGGACAACTCCAAAACAGCCCCACTTCGGCCCGAACAGCTCCAAAACAGCCCCGCTTCGGCCCGAACAGCTCCGAAACAGCCCCGCTTCGGCCCGGATAGCATGCCGAACAGCCTCGTTAGCATCCCGAACGACCCCGTTAGCACCCCGGCAGCCATGCGAACGGCCCGTACAACCATGTGAATATCCCGAACAACATGTTGCAGCAAAAGAAAGAAGATAAAACGAAAAAATCTGAAAAGAGTACGTTGTTACCTTTCGGACAATTGATCGAACACTTCGTGGTCAGAAAGTCAGAAGATGAATGTGCATAAACTCTTTAACGTGGCCCACTAGAAAATTTGAACAGCAACAACAACAACTCAAAGCTATAATTAGCAGACGTGGGAAACTGTAGCATTACACAAAATTATCAAACTCGAGACTCATGAAGCTATGAACGTGAAAAGAAAAAAAAAAAGGAGAAGGAAGAAATTTAATTATAGCCTATGGTCGTCAACCTGCTTTGTGATCTTCTGATGTGGAAAAATCTGAAGCTTTCGAGCTCCTTTTATAGATAGTGCGGAGGTCTGATTACTACTTAGACGAATAGGACTTTGAGTTTGATTGGTATAAGGATTCAAAATCCGAATCTAACTCCTAAGTTCTAGAAGTTTACTCTTCTTGTGTAGAGTCTGTAAGTAGCAGAGATTTTATGTTGCAGAGGGATTGATGTTGCTGTTGAAACATGACGGGCTTATTATTCCTATTAAGTTCTCTTAATCACTAAAGGACTAGAAGTTCAGTGAATAAAGGAAATTTAAATTTAAGGAACCTAATTGGTTGAGAAGTCTATTTGGCCACGACTTTGTTTGCCCAAGGCTACTGCCAATAATTCATGAGAATTATTTCATGAATTATAATTCATGAGAATTGTGGAAGTGGGCTCGTTATTTACATATTGGGGCCAATAATTTATTATACTTGGGCCTTAATTAAATGAAGATCATATGTTGAAAGAGGTTGTGGATGAGGTCACTTGGGCCATGTTTAAAGATATCGAAATTGGATTACGATAGTGTAATGGGTCATTTGAGATACTAAATAGTAAATTAATGATCCATTTAGTGAACTGGGTGCTATTAATCTTACAAGCCGATAAGTCCATATCATGTGCTCAAATACCAAATCAAAGAAATTCGTGACTTATTCACTTCAAGACAAGTTGTCCGTGAACAAGTCTCGAGGGGACATTTATAGACAATTAAATTTTAAGCCAATAAAATGGCGACAAATGTCAAATTCCATGTTAAAATCAATTTAATAATTTTCTATTTTATTTGGAAAATTAATCAAATTTTAATTCCTAAATTAAATAATTAATTAATTAATTATTTAATATATATTGTTGGCCAATTAAAGAATGTCACATGTATATTTTTGAAGGCCAATTAAAGAATGCCACATGTTATTTTCTTGGATAGTAAAATAAATAATTATTTCTTTTAATAATTATTAAAGAGATAAATAAGTGGAAATTCATGGACCAATCAAATTAAAGTCATTTTTTCCAAGACTCTCTCTCCTAATTATCTTTTTAAATAATTATTAAGAGATAAATATTGGAAATTATGGACCAATCAAATTGAAGTCTTCTTTTCCAAGACTCTGTCTCCAACACCTATAAATATGGCTCTCCCTAAGGTGGAAAAAAATACAATTCATATTCAAATCCACAAGTCATATCCAAGTTCAAGAGCTCTAGAGAATTCTCTCTACGAGATTCAAGTGTTCTTGAAGACCCAAGGCGTTCTTGAAGATTCGAAGGAAGATTCAAGCGCGTTCAAGCCCCAAATCGATGTTCAATCCGGAAACAAGCTGCCAACCCTCCGAATTGCGTTGTTAAAGTCAAAGAGTTTTGAAGATCCACATGCGTTCTTGAAGATCTGAAGGAAGATTCAAGCGCGTTCAAGCCCAAACCCGACGTTCAATCCGGAAACAAGCTGCCAAGCCTCTGAATTACGTTATTAAATGTCAAGACCGTTGTAGAAAAGATCAAAGTCAACTTTGTGGCGAAGACCAAGGACTCGTGTTCTTCACGTTCTTGGGAAATCACGGCGTTCGATTCGAGATCAAGCTATCAAGCCCTCGAAAAAACGTTATTTAAATCCAAATTCAAGACCAACGGGATCAAACTAAAGATTCGTCTCCAAAAGTCTCATATCCATTTGAAGATCGTTCTTGAAGAAATTAATCAGAGGAATAATAGAGATTATACCCGCAATATCGTTTGATCGAAATATATTCAAGTTGTACAAAAGTTTTTTTGGCACGCCCGGTGGGACTCAAAATAATTTTTGCGTTACATACACGACAATAAATTTTTTAATAAAGTATTATTTGAGTATTATGATGAACCAAAATATGTAAAATTTTTATTTTTTTGTATTAAAAAATAAATATATGTGTTAAAATGTTATTTATATTAATATAGACGAATCAACGGGCTAATACACCAAAAATATTTTACATTACGAAATCCCATCGCACGAGATTCTCACTAGTATATTGAAAAACATTCTTATTTCTTTCACTATTCATCTTTCTAATATTTCTAATATGATCCCTCCCCTATCACTTTCTCTTTCTAATATTTCTAATAGGGTAAAATATTTTTTCTCATCCGAACTATCACGGTTTTGGCGCATCACCATATAAACTATTTTTTTTTTACAAACCACCATATGAACTATACGGGTTTGTCAATATGCCCCCTAAACCGGATATAAAAGTGGTTTAGGGGGCACATTGACAAACCTGTGATAGTTCATATGGTGATTTGTAAAAGTATTTAGGGGGCGCATATGGTGACCAAACAGCTTTTTTAGTCAAAACTACTTTTATATCTGGTTTATGGGGCACATTGACAAAACCGTATAGTTCATATGGTGGTTTGTAAAAAAAAATAGTTTATATGGTGATGCGCCAAAACCGTGATA